TACTGTTTCCTGTTGTCAGAATTTGAGAATATTGAACTTAAAAAACCCCTGTATTTGCCATGAGAGATGTATCTTCCTCCACCCCCATAAACCAGTACTGAGAAGGTGGACTAGTACACAGATAGCTGAAGATGACTGAAGTTCCAGGCTGAGACTCATTATCTGTAAAAGTTTGCATTGTGTATTTCAATGGTAGAAGGTTATGATGCTGTGCTGAACTTCATGAATTACTGTTTGGGGGGAGATGAAGATGACTAACAAAAAAATTCGGAAACACTAACTCTGAAACTCTGGTGGGTTTGGGGACTGAGTGCATTTAGGTTTGTTTCTTTTGTTGGCTTGGTTTAGCTACGGTTAAATACACTTTCAGTCTTCACAGTATGACAGAATGGCAGGATAAGAACTACTCTGTGGGCCTGATAAATGTTGAGGACAGAGAGCAAGCGTGTGAAAAGGGGGGAAGGCTAGAGAAACTTCTCTATTGCACCATGTCTGACTTCACTACTACATCGCTAGCATGCTGCTTCGTGGACTAACCAGGATGTATGCCTGGTCTTGCTGTGGCTATTTGTGTTCAGCTTAGTATCTGTACATCAGGTTTGCAGCTTTGGTTGGCTTGCTACTTAGCTTGTAAAGCAGTTTTGGTACTCAGTGTATCAATCAGCTCATTGCTTTTTCTTGTACTTAATACACAGTGATTGGCATGAAGGTGCCCTAACTTATTTCAGAGCCTTGTTGTGTGTTGTTTTTTGGTAACACCTTACCTAAAGGGCTGTGTTAGTGTCTGAATTGTGGCTTCAGCTCTACTGTGAATAACAATTTCTTTGGTGCGACTTCATGGAAAATAGGAAAATTTCCATATTTTAGCCTCAGAAGATTGTTTGTGGGATGGGTGTTCAGTGTGTGATTGATTCTGCTTTTAAAGTGTAGAAGAAATCCAGTTACTGTGCCTTGGCTGTACCTCACTAGCAAAATGAAGTTAGAACCATAGGCCTAAATGGTACATCAAGGAGAGAATGGGTGACACCTAGGGTTTGTTTTTTAAACAAAAAGTGTTACGTGCAGTAATGCTGTGTGCGAGCTTGAAATTGCTTGAGTGATGTAGTGCATTCAAGGAACTGCATCTGGAAGACCACAGTTAAAAGAAGCTGCTTCACTCATTTGAAATACCTCTATGACACAAAACTCTCCTGTCCTTTCTTTTGGTGACTGAGTTGAAGTGGCTAGAATTAGGTCAGGTGTGGCTGCTTGTAGTAGCTCTTTAAATCATCCTTGGATGTACCTCGTGCCTTTATTCATTTAAATCTATATTTTAAGGATAATTTGCTGGGAGTGCATCCATCTGCAAATGAAATTCAGTCTTTTTTTTTCAATACAGAACTTTTAAATATTCCAAAATTAGTACTATGACAATATGTTTATTGTATGCTTTTGTCACATTGACTTGGAATATGATTTTTTTAAAAATAAAGCAGTGCAAAATATTGTAATGTGTATGATGTAATTTTGTTACAAATGCTAGCTCATTCTGCTCTTTAAAACCAAGAAACCCATCAGTGTTCAGTTCTAATAAGCTTGTCTTTTTTTGTTGCACAGATGCCACACAAGCCAAGATCTGCAGCTTCAGAATGCCTGGTTTTAGGCCAGGATATATTTTTATGTTGTTGTTGTGTTAAGAACTCTCAGTGGCACACAGTTGCTGTAGTGTTCAATATTGTGAATATTAATCAGTGGCTTAAAGAGCTTTGCAAATGTATTATGCCTTCCTGCAGGGGCCCAGGTGCTGAGCAGCTGAGGAAGGGAGTGTTCTCACATGTGAAGTACTAGTTCTACAAACTTAAAACACAATAGAGGAATTAGAACAGGGTGGGAAGTTGCTATTTTGTAATCCTCCTTATAACAAGAGTCTGTTTCTAAGGCACAGAGAGGCCTTCTGCCTAAACTTAGCTTTAAAACTATCCAGTCAGTATATGCTTGCAGTGATCCTGGGGGACATGCAACTTCAAGGCTTTAGTTAAGCCCTTAACTAAGCAAGAAGCCAGGCAACCTTACAGATAGATTTCAGTTTGTTATGGAACAAGAGCTGAATTTTCTAAATCCACAGTCTTGGTTGTGTATCATTACCCTGAGGTCTCCTGTTTGTGTTGTGTTTTAGTAAATGTCAGTGAGTGCAGGTGAAACTCTTAAAGTGGGGAAACTTTTAAAATACATATTGCTCATAACAGCTGATTTTTGTGACGGCAGCTACATAGTGAGAACAAGTTATGGCTACTGTGCCCCTTGTAACCATGATATGTGGGTAGAATTATTATTTCTGTTGCATTTACATAGTGACTGTTTGGGGGAAAAACATTGGGAGCCACTGGGTTAATGTGTTTGGCTCATCTGTAAAAATAAAGCATATACAGGCATTTGTGCCTGAATGTCATTTCCTGTGCTGGAGAAAGCAAAGATAATAAGATTCTTTTCTTCTTTTCTTTTTTCTGTTTAGGACTTAGAGGAATTCTGCTTTAAGTTTTGTGTCAATCACTTGACAGAAGTGACACAAACCACGGCATTTTGGCAAATGGATGGTCCTCTGCTAAAGGAATTCATTGCTAAAGCCAGTAAATGTGGAGCCTTTAAGAACTGAAATGAGGCTGTTAAGTTACGGGCGTTTGCAGGGATTTTCTGCAGTTATAACAGGATGTTGTAAACTGTACAGGTGAAAGCGAGTGTTGCCTGCTCTCTTATACCAGAAGACATGAAAAGCCACGGTGGAAACAAAAGTTTTCCATGCTCAAGAGTGAACTGTTATAAAATGTCAAGCAAAATACTCACTTGCATTTAGCAAACTTGGATAGTGGAACCAGTTCAAGATTTCAGCTGCAGAGAGGACACACGGTGGCGTGCAGAAGTGACCAGCCAGTGTTGAGGATGCCTCTTTAGCCTGGGAAATCAGAGTTCTAGCACTGCCTCTCAAGACTTTTCAATTTCTTTGGGAGTTGGAGACTAGTCTGACTGTCACTTAAATAATTAACTCCCTGGGATTATAGAGAAGCAAATGGCACGGAAATCTCGTACTGCATTTGCATGACTGTGAATGACTGCGTGTAATTAACCAAGCATCTGGTGCTTAGAAAAGTGTGCACAAATCATCCATCTGCAAAGCCTACACGAGTGACTTTGAAGAAAGGGGTAACTAGCAAATCTAATCAGAAGTCAGTCTCTGTATTTGAGTATACCTTAATATAAGCTGCAATGTATACTTCACATAATCTGTTCAAGCAATATTTATAATGGCTAATGGAAAAAATTTCCTCTTGAATGACTCCAGATTGCATCAGTTCCCTTGAAAGGGAAGGGATACACTGTCCTGAAAGCAGGGGGTTTGCATTTAAGTGTTGTCTAAATGTAAACTACATGTAATAAAATTAACTTTTTTTTATATCTGTCACTAGTGAACTTCTTCAGCCTTTGAAGAAACTGGCAAGCTTTTTGTGTCACCTACAGCATAGAAGTTGCTTTACCTGAAAGAAGTTTGCCCAACCCCACAGCCTAGGTATGATTGAAGCTTACCTGTTTCCCTGTGCTTGACAAATACCTGTAATCTCAACTTCAGAAAAGGGTAGCTTTATTTGTAGACACCAGTGCTGACAAGCTATGGCTCTTTCATAGTGACTTTAACCTTACAGCACATATGTATGGACACAGCTTCCTATTTGTACTGAATACTTTTATGGTGCTACATCTGCACCAACTACAGAGTAAAGCACAGGATCTGGAACGTCAGAGTTGAAGTTCAGGTTAACTGCAGGTCTAAGTCTGGGGTTGTGACTTTGCAGCCTAGAATTTTGGGTGATTGAGAGAGGCCAAGGAGCTTCTACAGCATGATGGAGTTCAGCCTAGGACAGGCTCACAGAATGCTTCAAAATGTGTCGGAAATGTTTCTAATAAACAACTTGGTTTGGATTGCAAACTCTAGGCTAAAGGTTGAGCTTGGCAGGGGGTGGAACACAAGAGTCCAGGACTTGTCCTCTAAGCTGCTCTGAAGCTCATCAGTAAATAGTGGAAAAGAGCTCATGTGAGCTTTTAAGTCTTTCACTAAAAATTTGTAGCTTTGTCCCCCCAATAGCAGATAAATCCAAGCTCCAGGTGTTGTGGTTTAAGCCCAGCCATAAATCAGAACCACGCAGTCACTCTCTCCCTCCCCCTGTGTCCCCCCCCCCACCAACTCCCAGAGGGATATGAAGGAGAATTGAAAGAATTTTAATTCCCACAGGTTGAGATAAGCACAGTCCAGTAACTAAGGTATAACACAAAACCATTGCTACCACCACCAATAATAATAATGATAAGGGAAATAAAAAGGGAAGAGAATACAACTGCTCACCACCTGCTGACCAAAACCCAGCCTGACTGAGCACTGATCTAACCCTTCCGGGTAACTGCCCCCAGTTTGTATAGTGAGCATGCCGTGCTGTGGTATGGAATACCTCTTTGCCTAGTTTGGGTCAGGTGTCCTGTCTCTGCTTCCTCCTGGCTTCCCTTCCTCCATGGCAGAGCATGAGGCTCAGAAAGTCCTTGGTCAGAGTAAACATTACTGAGCAGCAACTAAAACCATCGGTGTTATCAGCACTGTTCCCAGGCTGAAAGTCAAAAACACAGCACTGCACCGGCTGGCAGCTGCTGGTGAATCCTTGGTGCAAGCAGAAGGTTGTATTTCTAGCCCTTGCACAGCCAGCAGGCCTGACTGTGTAAGCAAGTAAAAATACTGGTATTTTGTTTTCCTCATAGTTCTACTTCAGGAGCTCATGTTGTGAAAGTTGTTACTTTCCATCACCGCCTTCACACAGAACAGGACTTTTTACCAGTCACAGAGAGAGTAAAAGTGTTTAACAACCAACAGATCACTCTGGATCAGTGACGGAGAGGCAAGGTGCTGCTGAACCATGGTGAGAAAGCACATCCCCTCCTCTGGTGTGTCCCGTGGGGCAGGGGAGTATGATTAAACCCACAGCTTTCTTACAAACATTTTATTTTGTTAACTTACCCTTTCGTAGCTAAACAATGCTTCTTTGTATTAAAAACATTTTTTTAAAGACAAAACAGATGGAAGTCATAGCCTTTCTTAATAGTGAAAGGAAGACACAGTTTGTTCTTTGACTTGTTTTACATGTTGTTTATAGCGTATGATGCCCAACTGTTTTGGGTCTGCTTGCAAACACTGTTACAGCAGAACTAGTTATATGTTGAGCAGTCAATCAAGAATCACTGAATTAAAAAACGCCTGTTTGTAATTCAGAAGGCTTCATTAAGTGCAAGTTTTGCTAATTTTATCTTCTTTGGAAAGCCGAAGCAGCAACACAATCCTTAAACCATCACTGTCCTGCACACAGTGAAGCAGCTACAGCACAGGCAGAAGAGGGCTCCCACAGCTGAAGCGACTTTAACAAGTGCTCTGTGGCAGCTGGTGGTCCCTTGTCTGAGAGGAAACCAAAGTCTTCACTGGAGGGTTTCACTGAGCTTTAGAAAAAGCTAACATTTGGTGTGTAATGCTCATTGCTCCAGGGGAAAATGTAAAGAAAGGGACAACTTAAAATTATTGCAACAGTGAGGTATAAAAATGAGTAGAACACCCACTTCTTGCCTGTATCCTTATCTTGGGGTAGAGGTGAGGGCCAGAGGGAATTACTCAGACAGTGACCAGACAGGCTCTATGGTTTCTACCATTAAAAAATCCTAAATACTGACACCATTACAGACAGACTTAGGGGTTATTCAGACATTGTACTAGATGTACTCGCAGTGTTCTCTTGGGTAAGAAGGTCAACTTCTTTCAAGTCCTGCAGTAGCTCAATCTTAGTATCCAGTTTTTTTCTGCTTTCCAGAAGTTCCTGGATTTTTTCCTCTGTTCCTGTTCCAAAAAAGAGAGCATTAAAAGCTTTCATTTGTATGTAACTATTATTAATTAAAAATACGTGTTATATATGCATTAATATTCAAAGGCTTAGTGTAACTGCCTTTCTGCTGTAGTCTAACACCCCCTATGCCTGGTCTCTCCATGAAAAGTTGGACTGTGTCCTGTACACAAGAACTAGCTGAAGTATCGGTATGTCAGAAGAAAACACAAAGCAGGACAGTCACCACTTTGTCACCTGTATGTTGTAAGCTCACTGGCTCATTTTAAGAGCTCTTCTTGGATCAGTTTTGGAATCAACCTTGATGTGTGTTCCCATTTTTGACCTTCAAATTAAAAGTAGGCTGACAGTATCAGAAAAGAAGATTGTGAAGTACAGGAAGAACTGAGCCACTCATGTAGTAGGGAACTGGAGACAGCCAACTTTTATGCACAAGAATCACATGGTTGTGTGTATGTAGGTGCCAATATCAGGAATTTCTCCTGTAAGCTGAGAAAAGGATGAAATAAGTGATGCAGCTGTGACAGAACCAAATGTGATCCATGGCTGCGTCACACAAGAAGTTCTGAGCAGAGATGTGTTAATGCCCTCAGATGATGCACTGGTGGAACTCTGTCTCCAGTAACTGCAACACCCATTGCTCCCGTTTCCAGAAGGGGAATTTAAATGTGAGAACAGGAGGCAGGAGCCTGCCTTTTTCAGTTAAGTCAAAGTGAAACGGCAAACATCACCTTCATGCACTGAACCTCAGCTAATTAAAGCCCATTTCCCTTTTCACAGGGATAAATTAAAGCAGAAGTTAGAAGAAGGCTACTAATTGTCAGAGGGAAACAGAGTAAGAGACTTGACTTGCCTATCTGAAAAACAGTTTTAACCTTGGTGCTTACGACAGCTGAGAGCAGAATCCACAACCCAGAGTTCCCTTCCACACTGGTGGTCCCAAGCAACTGCTCCTGCCCTTGTTTTCCCTTCACTCCGACCACTCCATCAAAACTGCCATCAGGTCCACCTCAGTTCTGCTCAAAGCGTTTAACACCCTGAACTGTGTTCAACACAACTGTGGAGGAGGAAGGGCAATAACCTGCAGATACAGGATGGGTGAGCACCCTGCAGGAGAGGGAGGTCTTTGAGAGCTGTGGAACTGCGACTTGCCTCCCCCTTCAGGTCAGCCAGGCAGCCAGCTCTAGCACTGCTTCTGAAGATTCTGGTACTAGTGGCTTTTTTTCAGTTGTTTAGATAAATGTAGGAAAAAAGTTCCTTGGAATTTTCATTTTCAATGGTCTTTTTATCAAAATGCTCAGACACCCAGCCTCAGTGCCAAACCCCAGGGCAACTGCTGCTGCTCTCACAGCTGCGCTCACGTACCTGAGTGAATATTTGTCAGTATATTTTCAAACAGTCCACAGTCAAAGAGTGACATTACTGTCTCTTCATACTCTAGAGAAAGAGAGAATCTGATTTAGTATTATCAAGTAAAGGTTTACAGAACCCTCACTCTAATGCAGAGCCCTATGTGAGATGTAGCACAAAACAGTAATTACTTACATCATACTGACTGCTCAAGGTTTTAAGATATCTTCCTTCTCATATAATCCATCTTAAGAAAGAAGGATCAATTTGTCAATTCTGGTTTTGTTTTTTTTTTGTAGTTTCCATACAGAGAATAGGAAAGGGGACCTGCCTGTAATTCCCTTTTGGGTTTGCACCACCTGAACAGTCCATGTAAAAATGAGGAACGTGTATACACTTCAGTTATGTTTCATTCAGGACTGCATGTGTAATCAGAGTGCTGCCTCCACCAGCTCCTCCTGACAGACTGTGTAACATGTGGGACAGCACTAGCGCTGGTCAGTGTTAAAACGCAGCCCAGGATGATGCCTCCATTTCATAGCTGGGGTTTCCATCAGAACAGAACACAAAACACCTACAGAGTTCACATGACTATTAAGACACTCTTAACGTGAAGACTGTGAGCCCCTAAACGTGTCCTGGACCTCACTGCTGCTTCCAGCAGCTGCTGTCATATTACACACAAGCTGCTCATGAGGAAGATTTAGCCAGGTAGGACTAATGCTCAGACGTGCATGCACTTTGCATAAATCAGCATTCTTTATCCAATGGTATTATTCATAACTTTGTAAAGCTGGGATGACAACAGGAAAGGAAGGTTTCAAATGTTCTTTTTAGCTGTTGTGGACAGTGTAACACTGGAGTGGACTCCTCCAAGAACAAAGGTCTTCATATAAACTAATACTTAAAAGGATGAAACCCCAAAATACACATTAAGAGTTGGCAATGAAGTTCTGACTAATCATTCAAAGACTTAAAATGTATATACTCAGGGATTTTTCTCTCAAAAGAAAGTGCTGATATTAACAGATAGCTGGTGCCTCTTGTGAAGCTGTAAGAACAACACAGACTTATGACCCAAAGAAAACCTTCCAGTTTCGTCTCAGGACTTCTCTCTAAGTGCCTGGGAGAAGTGGCCTGGCTGAACCTCCCTATGCTTATGCCAATGGGCAAAAGGTGGCTTCAAAAATTCAAGCTGGAAGGCCTTGCTAGAGCATTCTGAATTATGATTTAACACTGTGGAAGTATCCCTGGGAAGGTGACCCAGGGCCTGGCTGGAGTTCTGCTCTGAGAGCAGATTCCCTCCTGGGTCTCCATACCTGTTTCTGAAGTGTTGTCATCCATCAGTTTTTCCTGTGCCAGGTGAAGTGTGTCCAGCATTTCTTCAAATATGTCATCCAGGAGCCCAGCTTGCTTACATTTCCTAAGAAAGTCTATTCGCACTGTTGAAACACAGAAACACTCGTCAGAAGCGATCTCTGTAGTGACTTTTGCTTGCTCCCTCCAGAAACTAGAACTTTGGCTGAAGTCCCCCTCCCAGAAACAACCGTTTTGGCAAATCTCTGGCTCCTCCATTTACCCACTCAGCCTTTTCCAGTGGGAACAAAAATGTGATCAGACAAATGCAAGCATTGCACTGGGGTAAAATTTCCCAAGCACCAGATTTAGCTTTGTTCACCCAAAGCAAGTATCTCCACAGCCCTACCGGCACCATTCCCAAAGCTTCCCACTACCCGCAGTATAGGAAACCAAGTGATTTGTCTTATTTTTTTTTTTTCCTTCCAACACTCAGGACCACCCTGTGGACTGAAAGAGAAAACAATGCAAGAAGTGGATCAGTCTTAGACTTGGTGAGAAAACTGAGGCTACTTCTACTCCAGGTGATCCAGGCATGAAACTCATTTATCACAGCCCACTTTAGAGGCTTGCTTTGTCAGATGTGGACTGTTAGTGAACTAACCACCTATTTTGTCTTCATCTCAAAGCAGCAGGTTAGGGACAGGTTTCGGTAAGATCCATCCAGTAGGCTGTTCAAACGGAAAGTGCTATGGGACAGTTCAGGGAAGTCTGCCAGTCTCTATCAGAATGGTACATTTTACTGGAGACTGTTGTGAGAAAAGAAACGTCATTTCACTTACACCAGATGCGCCACAAGTATTCCAGGATTCTTGACATGTTCCCTGTTCTTTATGAGGGTAATAAAGGTTCAGAACAAAACCTGAGGCAGCACCTACTGTTCCAATACATGCCCATGCACTGAGCACAGCCATGGGAAGGTGAATAATCTCCACTAAAGCCTCCCAAGCAGCAGCATAATCCCAACATGCAATGGAGATACTTTTGCAGCATGGCTGCTATCACCCAGCTCCAAGCTCTGAACTACAATACAGCCCACCACAGTATCTCCCAGTTGTTCTATAAAGCGAGTCGCACCTTTATGCCTGTTGTTTTTCCTTTTTAGTATTTGTAAACTGTTTTCTTCTGCTGTCTCTTGTGTGCTCTGCAAGAAAATCAAAATTACATATTTTTACATCATACTGACATTTACTGCTTTGTTTTTCGTTACCCTGCCTCTACAATTGGCAGGGAGATAAAAAGCAGCCCATATACCCGTGAATGCCGTCAGCTTCTCTGCAAAGCTGGTGATACTCCTCTCCAGACATTGTTTTTAAAAAGGAAAGCAAAAATTGCTTCAAAGCAAAACCTCTTTCAGAAAAGCCCAACACCTGGGACACCACCTGCTAGAATTATTGCATTCGCAAACAGCACAGACATGAGCAAATGCTTACTGCTGCCTCCTGGTGCAAACAATGTTTAGCTCCCTCAACCTATGGAATACCAGCAACCATACCCTGGGCTGCATCAAAAGCAGCATGACCAGCAGGTCAAAAGGTGATTCTTTCCCTCTGCTCTCATGAGACCCCCACCTGCAGTGCTGTGTTCAGCTCTGGGGCCCCCAACATAAGAGGGACATGGACCTGTTGGAGCTGGTCCAGAGGAGTCTATGAAGATGATGAGAGGGCTGGAGCACCTCTCCTACGGAGACAGGCTGAGAGAGTTGCACTTATTCAGCACTGATAAGAGAAGGCTCTGGGGAGATGTTAGAACAGCTTCCAGTGCCTAAAGGGCCTACAAGGTATCTGGAGAGGGACCTCTTAGAAGGTCATGTGGAGTAGGACAAGGGGGAATGGCTTTAAACTGACAAAGGGGAGATTTAGATTACATCTTAGGAAAAAATTCTTCCCTGTGAGGGTGGTGGAGCCCTGGCACAGGTTGCTCAGAGTAGCTGTGGCTGCCCCATCTCTGGCAGTGTTCAAGGCCAGCTTGGACAGGGCTTGGAGCAACCTGGTCTAGTGGAAGGTGTCCCTGCCCATGGCAGGGACATTGGAACTAAATGGTTTTTAAGGTCCCTTCCAACTCAAACCGGTCTGTGATTCTATAATTCACAAAAGGGGAATATTTTTCCTTCTTTTGGACAGGATGCAGTCATTCTCAGTTGTTTCATGTCGTACCGCAGGACTACAAATAATCCTTAAGCTCTGTCACAGAACTCCATCAGTGCAAACATGCATTGCTTATACAATGGTAAACAGTATATCCTGCAGGTATAAATCCTGAAGCCACTAAGGTTCTTATCTGCAGCGTTTGTATTGATTTCTGAGATCGCTAGCACTGGAGAGCAGCAGTGGTGGGCAACTGTGGTTGAGAGCAGCAGTGTGGACAACTGGTGAGATGGATCTGTTATACCACTGGGAATGTATGTGGATTTACAGCTGAGAAATTCTTGGAGACAAATAACCTACCCTCAAGAGAGTACTACATACAAGTTGTGAAGGTTGCCCAAATTCCCTCACACAATCTCCCTTTCACTCTCAAGCCCTGGGAAAGGCATTTTTTCCCCAGGGAAAGCTTGATGCCAATTCCTCAGGAAAGGAGAAAGTCCCTAGGGTCAGCAGAGTTCCCATGCATACTGCTGTGGAGACAGGTCAAACAACAGCCTCTGAAACAACTACCCCTGCAACCAGATAGATGCTCTGCTTCACAGTTCCCAAACCCATAGAGGGCCATCTTCACCAGCAGAGCTGAGCACAGCCTGATGGGCACTGAGAACCTTCTAGCTACCCTGAGCACAGGCTTACAAACCAGTAAGTGTCAGTTCAAAAGGCCAAACGACTCACAAAAAGCAGGTGTTCATGCAGACTGTGCCAAGCTGTAAGCACATCTGAGGGGCACAGTACTTCCCAAGAAAAGGAGACCCCAAAGGGAAGATCTCTCCAGTCACTTCATAACCACAGCCACTGAGCCAGCTTGGTTCAGAGGCTTCTACTGCATTTGCACAAAGTTACCCGAGGGCAGCACTGGCTCTGCCTGAAGCAGCTCCAAATGCAAATGTGTTTGTTTTGACAGAATGACAAAATGAGAACAAGGCAACTGTAAAGGAAAAGTTACTGCTTCTGTGAGGAAGTCTGTCTCTGAGCACGCTGTCAAAATACTTCATTAAAGAAGCCCTTTGCTGTAGCAAAAGCAGGTTCCTGGTTTAGAGGTACTTAAATTCAGACTTACCATTTGCTCCGCCATGGTGGAAGATTTCAGTGTATGTCTTCTCCTCTTATTAGCTGTATCTAGAAATCAAGAAATGACAAAGCAACAAACGTGTCAACCTCAGACTGACGATTTCCCATCATTCAAATTCTCTCTTTCCCCCAAAAGCTACAGAAGTCAGGCACTTCAGGTGGCAAGGCAAGAGTATGCTTCAGCTTCCCCAAGTACCCAACATTTTCAGTGGAATTCACATCATTTCCATGTAAGAAAAATAACAAGCCTGAACCATTAAGAAGAAATGCCAGTACTGTTGTATTAGGTTATCACTTTGTCTTTTAAACTCAGTATAAAGCAAACCCCAGTTTTTAACATATGAGTTTTGATTGTGGCACAGTGAACGCCAGAGCAGCACTACCACTAAGTGGTAAAAACTTCAGGCAAATTTATTAAAGATGACTGTTGTTTTTTTTTTTCCCCCAGTCAACTGCTGTTTAAGTTAATACAGCCTCAAAACTGAGACTACATAAAGAATTAATTTAGGTGTCCCAAAGACATGCAAATGGCGTTAGGTTTCTCATTGATATAATGACCCTCCTAGAAGCCTTGTCAGTTTAATAGTATTTATGCTACAAGGTGTTTTCAATGACGTCGCATGAGAACTCTGCAGAACCATCTGCTTTCACTCTGCCCTTTCCGTCAGCATGCACCAGCCTCTCTCCAACATCTTAGCTGGCAGCTGCTAGTAACAGTTACAGCATCACAAGCAGAGAAAGGTAACTGCAAGGAAGACATGGCAGGAGCAGAGAAAGCCGGAGAAGGAAGGGTTCAACAGCCTACCAAAACTTGAGGGTTTTAAATGCCCCTCTCCCATTTAACTACATCCTTTGGGCAGCACTTAGGTTTTTTTCCTGTTCCTGATTTGTAACAGGAAAAGAGGCATGAGGAGTTGGTACAGGAAGGCTGTTGAAACAGGTTTGGGTTCTAGGTATCAGTGCTGTACATTTGCATTTTTCATGTTCTGAAAGGAAATCCGCCTCTCACTTCATCCAAAATAAAGCTGGACTATTTTGAAGCAGTCTAGGAGATGCTAGTGCAGGCACAGTGTTCCTTGCTGCACAGCATGACATTGTTAACATGTGGCAGGACTCTTCTAATGTTTGCTTTAGGGATGTCTTATAAAACAAGAGCACAGTCAAAAGAGCAGCCCAACTCCTGAAGCCCACAGTGTTCTCCACTCTTCCACCTTTGTCAGCCTTTACTCTAGGCACATCCAACACTCCCAGTTAAGCAGAAGTTGGAGCCTGTTTCCAAGTCCAAATTGCCCCCCATTCTTGCTACAGAGATGCAAGGAAACTTCTCAGCCCCTAAGGCACCCTATCCCCACAGCAGCAGCCCCAACAAGCAAATCCCCACACAGCAACGCCCCAACATTTCAGCACAGGAATGTGTGTCTGAACCAAGAACCAGGAGATGTTCCCTCACCCCATTTTCTCCAAGCTACCAGGGAAAACAAGCCTGGAGAGGCAGCCCTTCTGTACAGCTCCTGCTCCCACACAACCCTCCCCAGAGGAATGGCTGAGCTGCTTCACCCAAGTTGGATCCTGAAAGTCAAAACACTACCAGGAAGGCACAGCGCTCACACAGGAGCCAGGACAGCCACCACCAGCAGAATCCATTTACCCCTCATAGAACAAAAGGTATCCAAATTAAGCGCCTCTGGAAGATCTTCTCTAGATGATCCCTCTTCCAAGTGAACAGCCCATACACTATACACACAGCACTTGCAGACACAAAGACCTTCAACTTCATGAGATTTATGCCTTCCTTCTGAAGGAGCTGGTCTACAGGGCTGGACCTAATGCCCAGATCTCATCTTATACTGGACAGGCAGCAATCCTGGCTCTGTCCAGTAGTCAGGCAGGAGACCAGCCAGGACCCTGGACAGACTCAGCAGAATGACAACCCTAAAACCAAAGGAATCAAATTCATTTTAAAAAGGGAGGGAATGTCAGGCCTCAGAACTACAGATAAATAAAAAGCAAAACTACTGAGTGAAATAAAGCTGCATTTGGTTAGTGAGCCACAGCAGTGTCAGGTGTTAAATGGACTGTATGGCTGGCAAAGCAGCCCCAGACCTGTGACCACAAGTTTAAATGACTATCACCTAACCCACCCCGAGTGGCACCAGGGTGAAGCCAGGCCTTGTCACGATTAGCCAAAGTCTGCTCCATTTCAGTGTGAGCACCCCACTCTTAGCATTGGTGTTCCCAGTTCGACTAAGTTTGTCTTCAAAGTGGAGGCCAAGCTAGGACCATTTGGAACAGGATTGTGTGCTTTAGGTTAACAAAGTCACCACTTCAGCTGGTTAATTCACTGAGATTCTCGACTACCTGTGAATCAGCAAGGACCAGGACTGCCCAATTCAGCTGCATTTCTGCAGCGAAGGGAGCAAGCCTTAAACAGTGGTTGTATAACCCTTTAGTTACACTTAGAAAGCTCTTTGGGATCCTTCAGAATGAAAGGCCCTATTTAAAAAAACTACTGCAGTGAATAGAGAAGATGCAAATGTGAATATTTTAATGTAAATACACATTAAAAATCCCAAGGTGACCTCTCCTGTTGCAGTGCCTCTTTGCTAATCAAGTGCAAGCTTGTGCATCACTCATCAGCGTGACTCTCATGTCTCACATGGATTTCATAAACTGCTTGAGCCTACCTGCCCGCACAAGTCAGAATAATCCAATATAAAGGTGGAACAACATTTGTTTTGTTCAAATAAGTCATTGACTTTAGGATGCAAACTTTTAAAACAAATTAAATCAATGAAGCCATTAAAGAAACTCACCATAGTGATTGGTCCTATTGCCTGGGTCATGTTTTGGGCAGAACACTCTAAAATTTAAGTTTAATTTTAAGAAAAAGAGAAAAAGTATTAATAAATACGTAAACAGAGTCATGCTGACTGATTTTAACAGATATTTTCCCCTCTTTTCATTGAAAGATGCTTAAAAAAGAATGAGCAGGATTTTTGTTCCGCATTGCCCACCTAGGAAAACACCTGCCTTGAAATCCCACACATGCACAAGCTTGTATTTTTACTTTTAGAGCCTCAGTGGACTCCCAGCACTGAAGCTTTGAATCATCAGTTCCATTATCCCACTCTGTGTGGACCTGCTCCATGTTCCAATCCCGAGTCTGCCACAGTGATCGCCACACCAGGTGAAATGTGTCTGAGGTGCTCTTGCTCAAATGCCTTATTAAAATGAGATGGATGTTGTCAAGATGAAATACCACAGTACTGATACTGCTTGATTCTAGCTACTGCAGTTCTGCCCCCTTGCCCTGTCCTGCTCAGGCCAGGTCCAGAACCTCTTTAGATACATCTGCTTCCCAGTCAGCTTGAACTGGTAAGCCCTGCATGACGTACTGGCACTGCCATGCTTGGAGATCTCAATGCCGTTCCCTTTCCCCTGCCTAGGATGTGCTCCCCAGTCCTGAGGCAGTAGGGCACCCTGTTTGAGATCCAGTAGGTTAAAACTGCTCAATCTATTTGTTCCTGAAAGACTTTGGTAATATATGAGATGGGAATGTTTTTTCTGGTTCTAGGAGAGCAAGGTGAACGACTCTGAAGAGGCAAAATGCACCAAATACAGCTAGAAATATTCTTTATCTTCTGAATACAATAATGAACCAGCTTTCAGAATATGCCTTTCTTACAGAAGGATCCCAAATCATTTATTAAGCAAAATTGCTTTGTCAGTAGTGTGATTTAGCTGATCTCTTCATAACAGATGTATTTGCCCAGACTAATGCTCAAGTTCTTGGAAGCAGTTTTTAAAGGAAACTGCATTTACTAGGATATTCCTAATTATTGTCATTTTTCTATTTTAACAAAATAGAAGCAGTGACTTAAGAAACACAGCCTGATTCCTTGAGGAGCCAGTTTTCTGGCATTAAATTCATTCTGGTGCACAAAAAACCCAGATCTATGCATGCCTAACAATTCAGTCACACAGCTGAGTATAGAAAACACCTTATTTACATTGCTGAATTTCCAATATTGCCCTTTGTAGGTTGTTTTTTTCCTTCCACCCTTTAACTTTATTCTTCTCAGTTAAGAACAGTCTTCCTAAGTACAAGAACATCTTTGGAAGGACAGTATGTTTTAGTACTCAGGCCACTTTAATTGGAAGCACATCCCTACTACCATTTCTGCAGGATGGCAGTAAAAACTACAGTTCTTTCCCACCTCTCCTTTTAGTAGCCACTTCTACAGCACTGTATGCCTCCTGGCTTTGATAATCACTGCTGCTCATCACAACAACAGCAACTCAGAATTTAAAACCACCAGCTCTCTTTCTCTTGATGGAATTCTCTCTTTGGATATGTTTTTCATCAGCTCAGAAACCCACCAGACCAAATCATGTATTCAACCACTCCTTTACCAGTTAGTATCTAGACTGTTATCAGTCCCGTTCATTCTCAACTTCATAGGAAGTTCAGTTTTCTTCGGTCTAAGGCATCCTTTCCAAAGCTGCATGACAGCATTTATTCTGCGATCAGAGAAGTTTCCCTCTCCCCAGCTACACTCTTTCATGAGCTTTGCAGGCTCCCAAATACCTTATAAGCATAAACTAACCATATAGTCTTCTCTAAGGCTAGGCTTACAGCTTAGCACAAAGACCTATTTATTTTGGACTGAGAGCCCTAGTGAAGCAGCCAGGAGCACAAGGGACACAAAAAGACCTATCTCCCACTGCTACTGACTGCACTAGTCCACATCCTCCTGAAACAAGTACTGATTAGATGGTCTACCAGATTAGTCTAGGACTAACATGGCCTGTGATCTCTCTTGCCTTGCAGAGTCAGACATTAGGGTTTTGTTTCTTTTACCTCAGACTTTACTATAACTTCAGCTCTTTAAAAAGTCAAAGTCCCAGTTTCTCAACCCCTTCAACTACAGCTTCCAAACAACTTGTTCCATCTAACAGCAACACAGGCAGTCCAAGGGCAGCGGAGACTAGGGCTTGCATGGTCAGGACAAAAAATTTACTCGAGGTCTGATTAGTTGTGCTAATACTAACAATGTATTTGAAACAGAAGAAGGTGTTTGATGGGCATACAAAGTTCTCTATCAGAATTTTCCTAATGTGAACAGACACAGAAGTGCTCTGTGCTCAGAGCACATTTAATGAAGCTTCTGAGCCAACAGAAATTGAGAATTTGAGTGACATTAGTAAAAATCTTGGTCCTTGAAGACTGGCTAGCTAGCCAGTAAGGACTGACTTCCTCAATTTTGGCCTACTGATCATTCAGGTGTGTTGAAGGCTCGAACACTGAACAGATTCCCTCCCACTGCTGTGATGCTTTTCTCTGAAAGGAAAACATTTTCCCTATTGCCTGTGAACAGAGGATCAGGCATCACTTCAAGAGAAGATAAAAATAGTGTTGTTTTAAAAGGAAATATGTTAAGTCTCTCCTCCTGATACCACCGCCAAACCCTTGACAATCATTAGTTAGAAAATACTTGGTTAAATACCGGTAGACTCCATTTACTTCATCGGTTTCTATGGCTGCGTCGTCACAGAGTGCACAGAAGTAGTGGTAGCTTCTGCGACAGGCTCTTTCCTCACAGCCCACAGTGGCTCCTTTCTTGCGGCAGAAGTTGCACACCTAGAACAGGATGAGGTTCCACAGGTAAGCATTGCACACAGCTCCTGACAATCTTGCCACACAAGGCAAATGCTATCCTGTGGGAAAAAAATCAAATCTTTCATTGCAGTCGCCTCTGTGTAACTCGTGCAAGTTCAATCCTGCAACCTCCTATCCTGGTCATTATTTCAACCACCTTTTTGCTATCTTATCTCTATTTCATACTGATGAATTTCTAAACTGATGCAAACGTGAGGGTCCTGGGCAATTTTCCCCCTCCCCTAAATCTTGCCCAAGGTTTTCAGTGCTTTTAGTGTGCTAGTATATTTACGTTTTCTAGGCTAACTTTGCAAGGGAAAGACTTCCACCCAGGATGTAAGAGAGGAGAACAGCTGAAGACAAGGACAGTAAGAAAACCTCATACAAACAGCCTTCCTTCTGCTAAAACCAGAAGGTGTTTCCCCTTACACACATGGATTGTGTAATTTTGTTCAGGCACTGCCTTAGTCCTTTAGAAAATCTCTTAGGAAACTTAGACTAAGGACTTGAAGGCCAGGTATCCAACACAAATTTAATACAAAATTAAGTAGATTTTGCCAAATACAATGTCAAATCAATGTTTCTAACTCTTAAATCTGTAATTTCCCCAACCTTAGTAGAGCAAGTAATACTTTTCTGCATTTTTTTCCCAAACATAAACTGACTAGACAACCTTCAGTACTCTGAGACACGACTAAGTGCAGAGAGAAACTCCTTACCAGCCGCTTTCCTCTCTTGAGTTCTTTCAACACTGATGCCACATCAAACCTTAGATCCAGGTTATCTGGGTTATACTCTTCAGATTCCACAAATCCTGAAGAAAATAACTAAAGACAAAAGACGTTATGTTAAAATTTAATAGAGGGATTCGGTGACCAGTGCAGAAAAGGGAGAAAGGGCACATCTTTTCTTCTTGAGCTTGCCCTAAGACTGATTTTTCTGTTTTAAAAAGGCTTCACCTACACTGAACAAGGTACTTAAACCTTTTACCAGTCAAAAGTAGTTCTTCTGTATATACAGGAGATTTCAAAGGAACTGAAAGCAAGCTAAGAAAAGATAACAAGATGAGGAAGTGAACTTAGCAAAAAGTGTGAATGAAGGAAGTCTGCAAGTCCAGGCTGGACAGAGTAAGGAGAAGCTTGTCACCTGACAGACCTCCACACCCTGAACATCTTGGTGTCTCCCCAGCTGCTCCACCTTACAGCTAGGTGCAGTATTGCTCTGTAATAATATTTTCATACAGTCCAATGCTGACGACAGTTGACTGCATGAGAAACCTAGGAACATTGTATAAAGCCTGGGAGAAGCCCACAGAAAATGTATACATGTATACCTGGGCCACTTTCATTCCCACGTAAGTGCTGAGCCATGACAGTAAGAGAGGAAAGGGAAGTTCTTAGCAACATTTTTCCTAATCATAGAATAAGCTAGGTTTGAAAAAGACCTTTAAGATCATCAAGTCCACCCATTACATGTTATAGATATATATATATATAGCACAGTGCTGAGGCTTTGACTTTAGCCTGACAACAATGCTGATAACACTGATGTTTTTAGTTGCTGCTAAGTAATGTTTACTCTGACCAAGGATTTTTCAGTCTCATGCTCTGCCAGCGAGGAGGTGCACAGGAAGCTGGGAGGAAGCAGAGACAGGACACCTGAACCAAACTAGCCAAAACAGTCACATCACAGCATATTGCACCTGGTATGGCAAATAGGGGAAGTTACCCAAAAGGGCTAGATCGCTGCTTGGGTTGGGCTGGGTATTGGTCAGTGGGTGGTGAGCAGTTGTATTCTCTTCCCTTGTTATTTCCCTTATCATTATTATTATTGGTGGCAGCAGCAGTGGTTTGTGTTATACCTTAGTTATTGGACTGCTCTTATCTCAGCCGTTGGAGTTACATTCTTTCAATTCCCCCCATCCCTCCAGGGCAGGGGCAGGGAAGAAAAGGGGTGGTGAGCGAGCAGACATGTGACTCCGAGTTACCAGCTGGGCTTAAACCATGACAATGCCCCATATATTATAGCATTGTAGAGCCAATTCCAAACGAAATTGAGCTGCCCTTACATCAACAGGCAGGCATAGTCTGCTCAGAAGGTGATAGCTAACCACAAAATCCCAAACAGCACAGAGAAGCCTAAAGCAGAGAAATTGGTACAGCTGGGGGGGAGGAAGGGAAGAGAGGAAGATAGAAAGAAAATGTTTCAATACTGGAGCAACATTATAGCCCTAACTAAACCTGTTTCAAAGAAAACATCCAAGTAACACTGTAAAACAGGTATCAAATGTTCTCAAACATTCTGCTGAAAAAAAAAATACCCAAAGCAAGACAAGGGTAGTAAAAAATGAGGAAAAGCCAGAAAGCAGCAATCACACCTCCTGCACACAGTGACTCCCACAGTAGGAAAAATATGGCATCTGTAACAGATTCTGCACAACAAGAACCAGCGCCACTGAGACCCTGGAATAAAGGGGACGCATACTCGCTGCAAGAAGAATGAATACATTCTAGATCACAGCATGCTTAGTGCTTGACAGCTATTTTTATACAATCAGTTTCTGGTATTTTTATTACTTATTTAAAAAAAGGCACAGACTGGGAAGCTTTTTACCTAGATGTATCAAGTGAAACGAGTATTTTCCTGCAAAGGTGTAAGTGTGGGAAAATCACTTGCAGAGCATGCGGTGGAGGTAGCATGTCACAGTTTAAACCCAACCGGTAACTCAGAACCACAGAGCCGCTCGATCACTCCCCCCACTTCTTCCTCTCCCTGCTCCCAGAGACATGGGGAGGAAAACTGAAAGAATGTAACTCCCACGGGTTGAGATAAGAGCAGCCCAGTAACTAAGGTGTAACACAAATCACTGCTGCTACCACCAATAATACTAATGATAACGGAAATAACAAGGGAAGATAATACAACCACTCACTGCCCACCAACAGATACCCAGCCAAACCCGAGCAGCAACATAGCCCTCCCGGGTAACTGCCTCCAGTTGCTATGCTGGGCATGACATGCTGTGGTATGGAATACCCCTTTGGCTAGTTTGGGTCACATGTCCTGTCTCTGCTTCCTCCCAGCTTCCCCTCCTCCCTGGCAGAGCATGAGGCTCAGAAAGTCCTTGGTCAGACTAAACATTACTGAGCAGCAACTAAAAACATCGGTGTTATCAGCACTGTTCCCAGGCTGAAAGTCAAAAACACAGCTCTGCACCAGCTACTAAGGAGAAAAATGACTGCTACTGCTGAACCCAGGACACAGAGAAAACTGGGGTCTAGCAGAAGTTGCAGTAATATAGAAAACATTTTAGTGTAAAATATAGTTGCCACTTTCAGGACTGCTGGAATGCATGGAATCTGCTCCACCACGGTTCCCTGGGTAACACAACCTACTATCCTATAGGAGCAATGGAGGGTGGAGAGGAGTGGAGACACTGCGGCCAGGCTGTTGTGGTTACAGCAGGACTGGGAACGTGATGGTACCATACGGCTGATAAGCTACATAGCAGCTGCCAAACGGGAAATATTAGAGATGTCTATTGCTGAGCCAGCAACTGCGGCAAAAATCACTCGCCTGAGGTAAATCTTCCTCATTATATCTCATTGTAATACCAAAGCACACTTCCATCCCAAAGTTCCCCACCTCCAAGGTACGATCACCCCTCACTGAGCATGAGCTTTGTATTTTTTATTGGCTGTATCTTTAAGTGAAAAGCATTTTACACCAATCAGTAACTACAGCATGTATGACTGGAGTCACACCTAAACATAAAGAAATCATATAAAAGCAAGTTGAAGATGGAGGAAAAGTCAGGGAAGACTCCAACATAACTGCTGGGATGAGACCATGGGCCAAACCATTCTCCTCATCCATAAGAACACCCACTGGGTAAGTTTTACACTCTATGCGCACTGAACACTTTTATTGGAGATTAGAGCTTGTCTGTGTAATGCTTTAAATCTGTTTTTGCAGTCAGGTATTATCACCTGCAATCCATGAACCTGAATTTGTCAGGATTTGATATTAATAGTGTTATTTTGCAAATTGTCAGTGTTAATCCTTCATGGGAGCCAGCAGTCGCTGGCAGTGGGTCACACATTCAGATGGGCAGACCTGCTGAGGGGTTGCCCTGATGCTGTTGGCGCATTTTCCTCAGCAGGCCAGTGGAATCACCCTCTTATCCAGGAGGACTGGATCAGTGGTGAAGGGTCACTATAATGGGATGCTGACAGACTAGTCGGGCATAAGGGTCTTGGCTTTTCTGGAGCACTGACTGACAGAGCAGACACTAGGGATCGAGAAAATCTCTCCCTTTCTCATGACTTTAAGTAAGCACACAACTTTCTGTGGGCTGAGAAGTGTCTCAAGAAGGCCTATTCCTACCGCTAGACTAGATGTGCGTCTAGAAACACTGACCAGGAACAGACACACATGAAAACATCACAAATCAACATGTCCAGCTGTGCAGCAGTGTGCTCCCTCTCTCCAACATTCCAGCCAAGCCTGTTGCTTTCAATCTAATACAAGCTTGCTGATTTGGATAACCAACCTTTTCACTCAGACACCACTGCAGAGTTAAAAATGGACAAGCAGTGGAAACTTCCACTTTAGTCCTTTTCCATTCCTCTTAGATACCAACCAGCTCAAAGCCACTCACCAGACAATCCTGATGAGCTGCAATATTTCGCTCTTTGGCAATATACATCACAGAACCAGCCTCCCCATCTGAGCAAAATGCACATGTTCTTCTCACCATCTTCTCCATTATGCACAAAACACCTAGAGCAGGAAAACTGGGACAAAACACAAAGCAAACTGAGGCCAAGCAGGACAGAGGACAGCAGAGCTTGCTAGCACTTGTTCTCCAACTGCTCCTTCACCTGCATCCCCTGAACCTTGGTGCTTTGCTCCTCCAGCAACAACTATGAGTAGAAAAGGCAAAGCCTGCTCTTGGGACAGCAGTGGGATGGAAACCAGCCCCCAGGAGCTCCAACAGTTACAAGCAGGAGGAAAATTAGCTTACTTCCTCTTGGAAAGCCACACACAAGTCATAAGGGGTAACAACAATTTTTAAGGTTGTTCAGCAAATACCTGATCCAACAACAGGCCCAAGAATGGGCCAGCAAGTCACACCCTATGTGTTAAACCCTTTTTATTTGGAGGAGGACAATCATTCATAGCAGTGCCTTCCTTAAGATAGTTCTGCTACATGAGAATCTGCAAGTTAACTGAGGAGAGAAAAACAGCTGTTCTCAAATTTCTCCAGTGCCCTCCATGAATTCACAAGGAGGAAACACTAATTCCTTCCTGTCCTCCAGGGAAACAAGTAAACACCAATTCCTTACTGAAAAAAAGGATGTAGCAAAGAAGCGGGGAGAGGTTTGCAAGTAAAAGGGCCGAAGACAGAGTCAGAAACAGAAGATGTTAATATTCTCTCTCAATGAGCACTCACATGAGCCACATAATTTTCTCTGTGCACTGGGATATCCCTCATGGACAACTGTTCTCTTTTCCTGGCCGTATCATAGAATAGTTCGGGCTGAAAAGGACCTTAAGATCATCTACTTCAAACCCCCCTGCCATGTGTGGGGACACCTCACTCTAGACCATGTCACCCAAGGCTCTGTCCAACCTGGACTTTAACACTGCCAGGGATGGAGCATTTATCACTTCTTTGGGCAACCCAAATCTTAATATTTCTTCGCACAGCTTCTCTTTTCTACCAGCAGCTGAAAAATGTTCAGGCCAGCTACTTATTTCACAAAACAGTCTAACTGCTTCTGAATAAGCCTTTACTCCTTCGCCCCTCCCTTCCCCCAGGAGCTGAATGTCACTCAGTAGTAGCAAAAATTTTACTTTACCTGTGGTTCCTGTGCAAGTCCACTGCAGAAATCTTCAACAACTTCCCGCTATTACCAGGTGCGATACTCCAACCTGCCCTTTGCTGGAGATGTCACCTCTGACAGCACAAACTCTTGTAGGATAACATAAGAAAAGTTTTCTTTTACTTTCAAAAAGTAAGAAGACTTTAAGTTAAATTATTCTAGTGAGAGAGGCAGCAAGGCCTAAGCACAAAACAGGCAGGAAATTAAAAGGCAGGAAATTACAAAGTCCAGCAAATCTTTTAACCTTTCTGTGGCTTTTAACAGCCAACCACTATTTTCATTAGTTCCTACCTCCCTTCCATAAATCAGAGAAGGCTCTTTCAAGTAAGAACACTAGAGTAGAAGAGGATTTATTTGGTGGGGGTTGGGTTTGTTTTTCCTTTAACTCTGTCATCGAGAATTTGCTTAATCTTAAAGTTACAGCAAGTGACTTTGCCTCCACACACATCTGTTTTTTTCCCTTGTTCTCCTGTCCCTTGTAAGCAAGGCAGGATAGCAGCCAACTTCCAATATCCATCACAACAGTCTCAGAACATTAAGCACAAAATAAATACCACAGAAATAAACAGAAATGTATAGAAATGTTAGAAATGGAACAGAAAACAAAGAAATAAATTAGAAAGCGGAACAAGCTAGAGTTTGAATGCTCTAGAACTCAGAAGTTGTTCTCTGCAGCAAGCTAATACCTGAGTTTCATGCAGATACATAGGTCCTGCTCAGGCCCAGTCAGAGGATCCAGCTCCAGAGGCTCTGGGAATTTCGTGAGGAAGAGGCTGAAGGTTGAGTCTACTGTCCCTGGTGCTCCCACAGGCTCAGAAGAAATCCTGGTGCTGCAGAACAGAGCATGCTCAGTCAAGGTCAGCCTTGGGGTGGCTCCATCACCTCTGCAGGAATCCTGAGGTGGTGGAAAAAACATTCTTCACTAAGGAAGCAGCCAGCCTTCATGTGCTGCCCTGCTGAGCTCAGTGTCATGTCCCCCACAGGACCACTGCTTTAGCCCTGTCCCTTCCCCAGCTTTCTGCTACAGAGGGAGAGGTTACCAAGAGCTAAATGGGGCAATGGATCCAGCTGGCTGCTCTCAAATGAGGAGGGAGAGCACATGGCTCCAGCTCCAAACTCCACATTTTGCTTAAACAACACCCTTCTTTTGCAGGTCTTAAGTCTGCTCTTGAACGCTATTTGAGGATCTGTCTGAAAAGGTGAGAAATTATTCCTTATTGAGCTCCTCCAGTAATGCTTGTGACAACATACATCTGTTATTCTTTTATTATTTCTCCTACTCTGTTTCAAGTTGAAGAATCTGAAACTATTTAGTTTTCCCTTGTACAGAAGAGGTTCCACCCCTGTCATTCCCAATCTTTCTTTACTCCTGCTACATTCTAAGAGGAAAAAAAAATATCTTCAAAAATGGTGGGCTACCATTTGCAGTATAAAGTCACAATGCATTCTGTATTTTTCAGTTCTCTTCTTAATAGATCTTCATTTTCGATCACAGCTTAGACTGTGTTTCTGAGCACAGAGCTAACACTTTAGCAGTGTAGAGCTCTCTGTGCAGAAATATAGCCTTTCAAATCTCTTTCCTAAGTGGTATTAGACAGTATGGAGGGCACCAGTGTTATGACCGTTGCTCATGCATCATTTTCCACTTGTCAGTGCTGGATTATTACCTGGTATTTTAACAGTCAAATCACTGGCTGTCACAAAGTCCTTCTGCAGCTCTTCAGAGCAGCTTCCGCTTTGACTGACACAGAAGCAGACTATGGGAACCAAAGGAGACTAATTCATATGCAAGAGGCGGAGACCCTTCCGCTACCTCCCACTAACAACCGAGCAAATGAAGCTGCAAAATAGAAGACAGGAGAAGCAGCTGACAGGCAGAACCAGTCACAGCTTCTGGCTGCTTCTCTGGTACTGTGCCATTTCCTAGAAGGAGTTTAGTTTTTGTTTCCAACAGTGACAAAATGGAACAAGAAATGAAACAGAAAGTAAAAAGAGACACAACCATCACTGCCAAGTGTGCAGGGACTGTGCCACTTCCAAATATACCTTGCTAAACATTACCAGTTTGTCTAAGTATTTCTGCTCCGGAAGCAATCCTGAAAGCATTTACGTACGTAATACGTACATTTTACACAGAAGGAAACTAAGGCACAGAATGTCACTTGGCATATCATAGTATGCCTGGAGTAAGGAAAAGAACCCAAGTCCTCCAACTGCCAGTATGCTACTGAAACCCACTGCCCTATCTCGTGCCCTGTTCTGCTCTTCTCTTCGCCCCAGTGTAGTCGAGGATTTGATATACCAGAGTACGGAGAAAGGAAGTCACACACCCCTTACCTTCACTGCATTCTCCATTTGCATTTTGTGGGAACAGAAGCACTGCTGGTCATAACCTACACAAGCCCCCTCCCTGTTCTCCCTAAGTGATCAGCAGCACAAACACACCCAGTTTTGCAAGGCTGCCAGAACTTACTATAGTGTCACTGCAAGACCAAGACAGCCAACAGTCACTAGTGGTCACTCACCGGTCATTCTAGTCCCTTAGCCATTTCCATATATTCTCACCTTAACTGGGAGGGTTGGGGGGTCTTCACCATAACCCCCGGTAAGCACCTCTCAAGTGCTCACCACAACCCCCCGACATCCCCCACTCACACCACAAACTTCATGTCTCACAGTGTTTCAGCTACCAGTGAGGCACAATCAGCCACAGTATAACATGGCTGTGTCTCAAAATGATGTCACAAACTCCTTATTCGTATAACATATTGCGTTCAGATGTTCCTATCACTGATCGCAAACTCCCTTGGCTGGATTCCACATCCTGGAACCTATGCCCTACAGACTTTCCATTCCACCTATAGCATGCTCGTAACAAAACTTCCTGTATTTTTCTCACACTATACCTTCACTGCAACACCAAGACAGCCAATGGTCACTAGTCAGAACAGAACCAAGCAAATCTTTATCGCCTTTCACTCATTAAAGGGGAAGTATTTTAAATGGTATATATAAAATATAACTTTTTAGAAAGGTATATGTCAACATATCTAACCCAAGGGATGAGTGACTGGAGTTTCTCATTAGATACAAACTCTTACCTTTTCACAAGATGACAGAATCATGGTTTGGGTTGGAACAGACCTTAAAGCTCATCCAGTTCCAACCCTCTGCCACGGGCAGGGGCACCTCCTACCAGACCAGGTTGCTAAAAGCCCCGTCCAACCTGGCCTTGAACGCTTCCAGTCACCTAGTCGGGCCTGCCCCGGGCCTGAGCCTCCAGGGGTTGCTGCTCATATTTCCCTCCCATCCCGGAAGACTCACGGCTGGGGCAGGCCTAGGCGTGGGGCACCTCCAAGACAACATCCACGAGTGCCGAGGTAAGCCCGGGGTCGCGCTCACAGTCGCACTCTCCCCCAGCTCCAGCAGGGCCCATTCACTGACACGCGTCGGGAAATGGGTTAGCCACTGAGGGGGCACCGTCCACCGTGTTCTCCGGTCCCCCCACCCCGTTCCCGAAGCAGACTCACCGCCGGGCAGCAGGAACCATACACAGGGCTCCTAGCTCGCAGCCCGGCCTGCACACACCAGCACTTCCGAACTCGAACGCTTCACCCACCTCGGCCCCTCTGCCTCGCGGAAGTGGGCGGGCTCAACCGCGGTGACAAGCATGCGCAGTAGAAGCGCGGAGCCAAGTGGTGCCCACCCAGGGCTGATTGGCTGAGGCTCCGACGGGGAAAGGAAGGGAACTAGCGGAGCGCAGCCTCTCCACCAATTACGTGGTGAAGGAGGGGGCGCTCGGCCCATTCCCCGCTCCTTTGGGCGTGCGGGGTGCGGGGATTCTAGGTTCGAGACCCGCGCCCGCCACTCTCGGTGGCCGCCGTCGGGCAGCCAGTTCCCGAGAGGCTTCCCGCTCGAGGAAAGGGGCATCCTACATCCTCCCATCGCCACTCGTTTATTTTTCACGTCTCTTAACCAGGGGAGGTGGGAATGAATGAGGAGCTGGATGTAATGGGGAGGTCATGATCAGTGCCCAGTGTGGGGCTCTCAGGGGACATCTGTTCAAGCAGCTGATCCAGAGGATGCATAGGAAAGGCTGGGACAGGGCGCTGTGCCTTTTGCTTAGTCTCCTCCACTGTGGAGGGGCAGCAGCTGCCCTGTGGTGGCTTTATACCTGTCCAGCACACTAAGGACAGGACCATGGCAGTGCCACCAGTCAGCGCTTCACTTTGTGCAGGAGGTCAAAGACAGGCTTGTCCTCAGGTGCCACATATATGACTTCCAATCATGACAGGTCCTTGCTGCAGGGCATTGCTGGTGCTTCCTTGCTGGTAAACTTGACGGCTCATGTATGGGCTGATCCCCTCCTGCTGCTTGTGTTGGCAGATGTCAAATGCACACCGTGTAATGCAAAGCATACGCAATAGTGGGAGCAGCTTGTGGCTCTGCAGATCTCCACACACCACTGGGAGATTTCCTCTTCCTGCTTCTCACAGGTGCAATGATTCTGCAAGCTCTCTGAACATCAGTGGCTTCAGGCAAAATCAGAACCACGGTATGTCAAACAGGGCCACGGGAGAGGAGAACTGAGGTTTCATTGCAAACAGAATGGTTTACAGGTCTGTGTCTCTGAGAAGGCTGTGTGGAGACCTCATAGCAGCCTTCCGGTATCTGAAGGGGGCCTATAAGGATGCTAGGGAGGAGCTCTTCATTAGGGACTGCAGTGATAGGACAAGGGGTAACGGGTTAAAACTCAAACAGGGGAAGTTTAGATTGAATATAAGGAGGAAGTTCTTTACTGTAAGGGTGGTGAAGCACTGGTATGGGTTCCTGGTGGACCAGTTTCCCTGGTCTTGCAGCCAGCTCTTCAACTGCAGTAGTCCTTGGGAAAACAGGCAGCGATTCCTCATATCAATCTTCTTGGTAATGTACAGAAGAGTCTTAGCACTTTCCCACTTTTTCCTCAGGCAATGGATGGTGGAGTCCCAGTTCATCTCCTCACACCCTTCTCCCAGGCAATGAATATTGGAGTCTTACCTCAGTTCCTCCCACCCATCTCTGAGACAAAAGATAGGTGGAATTCCATCTCAGCTTCTCATACCAATCTTTGAGACAATGGACAGTGGAATCTGATTTCAGATAGTCTCCACACATCCCTCTCTGTGTTTATGACACAAAGAGAAGTCCTTGAGAAATCCAGTGTGCCTCATTTCAGTGTCATGTGCAGTCTGGGACAGAAATCCTTGCATTGTGGTATGAGAGAGAAACAAGCTACGTAAGGTAACACTGAGTGCAGATGTAGGAGGTGGCTCTGAAGTGGAGCAACAGATGGGTGTGTAAATGTGTGTTTGATCCTCGTGCAAAGAAGGTAATGTTGCAGACTGCTTGAAGAACCAGCACTGAAGATGTCAGCAAAAGTGGTTTAATTGAAGTAAGCTGTTGTGAAAGTGAGATAAGACAAAGTTTGATAGCAAGGTTCACTCTGTTTCTGCAGAGAGAGGATATAATAATGATTCAAAGTTACCAACACAAAAAACAGTGCAGTATAATACAAGGTTGTGTGTGATACTGGTCATGTACCAAAGATCTGCAGTTGGTAAGGGGTCTCTCAGCCTCGAGGAGTAACCTTGAGAGGTGCTCCAGCTCAAGCATGCAGTCCGCAGTTTAGCAGAGAGAGCTCAAAAGAAGGCTCACTTCAGGCTGTTGTGTTCATGGAATAAAGTGGTTGTCTTGCAGCCAAATTACACGTTATAGAAAAGGTAAGCTTGAGACTCCTTGTACCCACAACATTCTTTGTTCCTTGATAAATGAGTCTTGGAAGAACCACCTGCTATTCATGTGTTAATTGCACAACTGGTGTTTGGTTTCCAAGCCCATATGCATCAGTGCTCACTGTGACACCCTGTTCCTGTGTGGGTTTTCAGAGAACAGGCTGGAACTTGAGAAGTTTTTGGCTTGGCTATAGCTGAAGCCTTTGCTTCCTTTGGACACTGAACCAGAAGACCTCAACTTTGGTCAAGAGGTGGATTAAAAGCTGACCCTGAAGTTCACCTTACCTTCACTTCCTGAATTTGTGGGAGGTTGTGCGCTGCAGATCATGCAGAACTGCGTGCTGGAATTTGCTCAGCCATTAGCAGGTTTTGTCATTGGATTTCCTGTTTTACAGAGCTGAAAGAAGTGCCGCTTGCAAGAGTTAGTGGTGATTCAGGTAATTGTATATGGGAGAGAAAAGTGCCTGTGAGAGACTGACATAGAATCATAAAATAGTTAGTATTGGAAAGGACCTTAAGATCATCTAGTTCCAAAGCCCTGCCATGGGCAGGGACACCTCACACTAAACCATGCTGCCCAACGCTCTGTCCAACCTGGCCTTGAACACAGCTTGCCACAACTTCCCTGGGCAACCCATTCCAGTGCCTCACCACCCTTACAGTAAAGAACTTCTTCCTTATATCCAATCTAAACTTCCCCTGTTTAAGTTTTAACCCATTACCCCTTGTCCTATCACTACAGTGCCTAATGAAGAGCCCCTCACTAGTATCCTTATAGGCCCCCTTCAGATACTGGAAGGCTGCTATGAGGTCTCCACACAGCCTTCTCTTCTCCAGCCTGAACAGCCCCAACTTTCTCAGCCTGTCTTCATACAGGAGGTGCTCCAGTCCCCTGATCATCCTCGTGGCCCTCCTCTGGACTTGTTCCAACAGTTCTATGTCCTTTTTCTGTTGAGGACACCAGAACTGCACACAATACTCCAAGTGAGGTCTCATGAGAGCAGAGTAGAGGGGCAGGATCACCTCCTTCGACATGCTGGTCACGCTCCTTTTGATCCAGCCCAGGATACGGTTGGCTTTCTGGGCTACGAGCGGCCACTGCCGGCTCATGTTCAGTTTCTCATCTACCAATACCTCCAAGTCCTTCTCTTCATGGCTGCTCTGAATCTCTTCTTTGCTCAACAGACAAAGATGTTGTTGAACAAGACTGGTCCCAACATCGATCCCTGAAGGACACCACTCGTTAGAGGTCTCCAGCCAGGCACTGAGCCATTGACCACAACTCTTTGCATGCAGCCATCCAGCCAGTTCTTTATCCACCAAGTGGTCCACCTATCAAATTGATGTCTCCCCAATTTAGAGACAAGGATGCCGTGTGGGACAGTGTCAAATGCTTTGCACAAGTCCCAGGTAGATGACATCAACTGCTCTACCCTGTCCATCAGTTCCGTAGACACAAATTGGTCATGCAGGATTTCCCCTTAGTGAAGCCATGCTGGCTGTCACCAAGCACCTTGGTGTTTTTCATGTGCCTTAGCATGCTTTCCCAGAGAATCTGCTCCAAGATTTGCCCAGGCACAGAGGTGAGACTGACTGGTCTGTAATTCCCCGGGTCATCCATTTTCCCCTTCTTGAAAATGGGGGTTATATTTCCCTTTTTCCAGTCATCAGGAAATTCACCTGACTGCCATGATTTTTCAAATATGATGGCCAGCGGCTTAGCAACTTCATTTGCCAGCTCCTTCAGGACCCGTGGATGGATTTCATCAGGACCCATGGACTTGTGCACGTTTAGGTTTTAAGATGGTCTCGAACCAGATCCTCTCCTACAGTGGGCCCAAGTTCTTCATTCTCACAGTCCCTGCGTCTGCCTTCCATGACTTGGGTGGTGCAGTCAGAGCCTTTGCCAGTGAAGACCGAGACAAAGAAGTCATTCAGAACCTCAGCCTTCTCCAAATCCAGGATAGCCAGTTGTCCTGACAGCTTCCAGCGAGGGCCTACATTATCCCTAGTCTGTCTTTTTTATTTGCAATGTAACTATAGAATCCCTTCCTGTTATCTTTCACATCCTTAGCCAAGTTTAATTCTAAGTGGGCCTTAGCTTTCCTAACCTGGTCCCTAGCTTCCCAGACAGCATCCCTATATTCTTCCCAGGCCACCTGTCCTTGCTTCCACCATTTATAAGCCTCTTTTTTCCTTTGAAGTTTCCTCAGCAGCTCCTTATCCATCCAAGGAGGTCTCCTGGCCCTCCTGATGCACTTCCAGTTTGGATGCAACACTCCTGTGCTTGTAGCAGGTGATCCTTGAATATCAACCAACAGTCTTGGGCTCCCCTGCCCTCTAGGGCTATATCCCATGGAACCTTACTAAGCAGGTTCCTGAAGAGGCCAAAGTCTGCTCTCTTGAAGTCCAGGGCAGTGAGCTTGCTGCACGCTCTTCTCACTGTCCTGAGGATCTCGAATTCAACCATCTCATGATCACTGCATCCAAGGCTGTCCTGGAGCGCCACATTTCCATCCAGCCCTTCCCTATTGGTGAGCATGAGGTCAAGCATGGCACCTCTCCTTGTTGGCTCCTCTATTACTTGCAGAAGGAAGTTGTCTTCCACACAATCAAGGAACCTTCTGGATTGCTTGTGCCGGGCCGTACTGTTGCTCCAACAGATACCAGGGTGGTTGAAGTCCCCCATAAGGACAAGGGCCTGCGGCCTTGAGGCTGGTTCCTATCTATCTATAAAACATGGCCTTGGAGTAGAGATTTCAAGCCTCTAGCTATACGACAAACTGAAAGAAAAACAAGAACAAGTGCTTGGCCCTGAGGCCAAGAGGCAACTGATGACTTATTTCTGTGTGGCTTAGGGTTACTCCTCTTTTAATTGGGCTGCATCTTTGCTGTGTAACTGTGGAAAAATGTGGTACCTGTGGCCCTAAGCTGTTTTTTTCATGTTTTGGATGCTTCAAGTTTAAAAAACATGGAGTTGTGCTGCAACATACAATGCTCTTGAATTTCTCAACAGCCTCGCCATGCATGAGGATAGTTTAAGCTTATTAAAAGTGGACTTTCAACAGAGACAACAGACCTGTAAACCATTCTGTTTACAATGAAACCTCAGTTCTCCTCTCCCGTGGCCCTGTTTGACATACTGTGGTTCTGATTTTGCCTGAAGCCACTGATGTTCAAAGAGCTTGCAGAATCATTGCACCTGTGAGAAGCAGGAAGAGGAAATCTCCCAGTGCTGTGTGTGTTGTCCTGTCGCTACAGTTCCTAATGAAGAGTCCCTCCCCAGCATCCTTATAGACTGCCTTCAGATACTGGAAGGCTGCTGTGAGTTCTCCATGCAGCCTTCTCTTCTCCAGTCTTAAAATGTGTAATATATGACATAAAGAACAGAGATACTCCCACCAACTCTTTAGAAAAGGGGAAAAGGTAATCACAAAAGGGAGCCATTGCCATGAGAATGACTCCAGAGGGACACCTCTGTAAGGACACTCTGCACTGACGACTACTGCCGATTCTGAGTGACACCCTCCATAAGACACTGCCATGAGGGCAATTCCACCAGGACACCTCCAAGGTTACCTTCAAGGGGATGACTCCACGAGGACCCCCACCCTCCAACAACTACTACTGGCTCTTGGGGGACACTCTGTTCCAATAACGACTATAAACACTGAAGGACTCCCACCAGCAATGCTGACAGATCCTTGGGACACCACTGGATCCATGGTGGTGACTCTGTCTCCCTCTGCAACCCGAATCCTTGCTTCATCTCCATCCTTTCTTCGATCTTTCCTGTTGCTATCCTCTTTATTACAATAATTTCCCTTTTTTTTATAATAATTGCCTTTTTGTAGTAAACCAACTGATCAATTACAGTACTTGACCTCGTTTGTGTCTTAATTTCACTCGTGGGATCATGAACAAAACAGGGTCTGACACTGGGGTTTTCTCCAATTGGACTCTGACAGTATGCAGCCCCCAAAACCACAGTTGTTTCCCTCCTGCAGCAGCAGGACTTGCCCAGCTCACTATGTAGCACAAAGCTCTAAAAAACCATTCTGATTAATCTCATCCCTGTACAAGACTACCTGTCCCGCTGCATCCATCAGGTTTAGGTATATTGTAATAATTCTTGGCCCCCAAACAGGCAGACTTCCATTCATAATGAGTGTCAGAAACCTGAGCTTTGCTGACTCACCCTTGTGGAAGGGCACAGAAAACATCAACCAACCGTTGCTCTACATCAGGCATGTCTTTGATTTTGGTGACAGCATGGCACAGCAGCCTGAGTTCCTGGACTGTGCTGAGAACTCTATTTGTGAATTAAAAGGGGGTGTGGGGGGGGGATGACAAGACTAGGAGCATTGGAAAATTTTGATGCCTGTTGTTACGACAAACAGTTCAAATTCTGTAAACTAGAAAAGTGGCATTCAAATATAAATTTTAAAAAATGATCAGGTGAAAGGCATTTTAATTGAATGTAATTAGCTCCACAGACTGAAGTGTACTGCTCACTGTGCAGTAGTCCTTCCAGCATATTGATCTTCAGGTACATGTGTTGGTAGTAACAAAGCTTTGCCTATAAGGTTTTTTTCCTGCACTTCTGAACTCCACACTCACAGGAAATTTCTATCTCTGGCATGCTTCCAGCTTCATAACCATAATCCCACGTGAGTTCTGTTCCAGCTTTCACATGCCTAAGAAATAAAACAGTCAATTTGTTTGAACCAAGTGAAACAATGCTGTTCTTGCAATTTGTCACCAGCCCCTCACATGCAACCCCTAAAATCATAGGGGCAGGAGCTTGTTGGGAGAGAGCCAAGAGATAAAAAGAATCTCTGGGACATGCATGCTGCTTTGCCTACCAGAGCTATGCAGTGTGCAAATAGCCACACCTAGGAGAAAACAATTTATCAAGCAGTGCAGTAAGGTCAAAGCCTAAACAGCCTGGTTTAGCCTGCTCTAGCTTAGAGGCAAATTCTGGGAAACAAAAAATTAACAAAAACAAAACAACAAAAAAACCCAAAAAAAAAAAAAAAAAGGAAAAAATAGAATTGAATAAATCTAAATAAGAACACAGATAGTTTTGTTAATTTTTACTATGTACAGTGCATCACTAAGATTCAAACAAATCTCTAGATACACTGGTAAGGAAGACTATCACCTCTGGTCTGACAAGCCAGGTTTTAATGCAATTGCACTATCTATATGCAGAAAGCCTAAGACTCGGAATTAAGCACATGCTACTCATGAACCAGCCACTCTGACACAGTACATGAAAGAAAAGAAATTTCTCAGGTAGGCAGTTCACTGCCCCAAATGAATGCCAAATTAAATACCTCAGTCTAAGATGCTGAGTGACAAGTGAGGAAAACAACAATTAAATAGGAATATTACGAAGAGAGTAATTCTCCAATATAAGGAACATTCAGTGAATTACAGGCAGCAGGCTGAGAACAAAGAACGAGGACTTTTCAAATATCACATAATTGCAACCTGGAACCATAGAATCATAGAGTAGTCAGGGTTGGAAAGGACCTTAAGATCATCGAGTTCCAACCCCCCTGCCATGGGCAGGGACACCTCGTTCTAAACCGTATTACCCAAGGCCTTGTCCAACCTGGCCTGAACACTGCCAGGGATGGAGCATTCACAGATCCCTGGACAACCCAGAAACTTCAAACAAATGAAAAGGTGACTGAACAAGTTCACAGTTAAGCTAAATGACCCAGATTCAATCCTTAATGTAGAAAAGCTGCAAAAGGGTGATTGCCAGAAAGCAGGAGGTCCAGCCAGGAGGACTTCCCTTCAACAATCTTCCCTAAGTGTCTTCTGCTGACCACTGTTACCTCTCTCCACTGGCTTCAGTCCCCATTAATTTTTTACCAAGTACCTGAGCAAGAAAGACTCTCGCTAAACAAAAGCTTTTTCTGGTATATCTCAAAACATTGTCTTCACAGTTCTTGGAAGTCCTCCTCACAGCGCAGTCCACAGCATCTGTGCTGATATGGACCAGGGCTGCAAGGCTCCACAAAGGATCAGTGCTCCCTGGGGTTTGTTTGGAATGAATTCTCTATTGTAAGTTTTCACCTAGCACACTTGCTGTCACATGCATCAGCTAGCTTAATTCACACAATTGATCTTTCTCCTCCTGGGTTTAGCTGCTGCCTTCTCATGTCCCAATGGTACCAGCTCTCTGTACCTCACTTCCTGTCATCCACTAAGGGAAGACGAACACCTTCTGCTTTCAGAGGAAGTTTTCACCATCATAACACACCATCACCATCATCACAGCCATGTCCCCAGGACACATGTGGCTACACAAAGTCCTGCTACTTTTGGCAGCTGCAAGGAGAAGAGCTGGAACCACCTTGTTTGGCCCACAAAATGTCTCAGCCTTAAGACCCTGTAGGATCTAATCCTGCCTTACAGGACACAGATCTGCTGACCATTCCTTGAGACACAACATTGGAATCAGTGAATCCTGGCTTTCGTATGACCATGCTGAATTAAACCTATTTTACCACTGAAAATTATCACTGAAAGGGACCCATCAAAATCAAGCTTTCCTCTTTTTCAGTGCAAAACTGAATAATAACTCATTATGATAAACAGCTGTATTTTTTCAATGTTTAGTGCTCAGTAATAAGTCACCACTAAGAAGGTTCCAAACATCTATCTGTTGTTATTATTTCCGAGGACCTAAGCACTGCTTATTTCCTAGTGCCTTGAATGGACAGCATTCAACTTCCAAAAGCTCACCTGTTTGTGAAGAACGCCACCCATGGGAAACTTCTGTTGTGAGTCTCTACAAAAATGCACTGTGCAAAGAGATTTGGGGAGCAGCTGTGCTGTAAAACAGAATATTTGAATTAGAAACAGTACACCTCATAATTGGCCAAAGAACCTATTCTGTATCAGATACCTGTCACTAGTAAAGGTAGTTTCTTCCTTCCCTTCTCCAGCCCACACAGAATCTTGATTACTCAGTGCCATTGCCACTAATGTTTGCAGAAACTATGCCTCTTTCAACTACTATTTCCATCATATTATGAAAGTATTTTTGCCTAGGAAAACCAAGTTATTTTATCAAGCTGTCCTCCAGAAATTTATGGATAGAATTCATCTTAGATTCAGAATGCACCACAAATACTCAATACATGAAAGATGCTCTTGCTGGCAGCCAGGGGGCAGTACTACTACCAGGAAGCAAGGAACAAATGAAATGATTGTGTACATTGGCAAAGAAATACCAGATGTGAAAGGTCATTCAGGTGCCTATAGAAACACGTGTATATTCCTGGATGCAGACGAAAGGTTTCAGCAAGATGTGCTACTAATCTTAGAATCATAGAATAGTTAGGGTTGGAAAGGACCTTGAGATCATCAATTTCCAACCCCCCTGCCATGGGCAGGGACACTTTGCTCTAAACCATATCACCCAAGGCCTCGTCCAACCTGGCCTTGAACACCGCCAGGGATGGAGCATTCACAACCTCCCTGGGCAACCTATTCCAGTGCCTCACCACCGTAACAGGAAAGAATTTCTTCCTTATATCCAATCTAAACTTCCCCTGTTTAAGTTTTAACCCATTACCCCTTGTCCTATCACTACAGTGCCTAATGAAGAGTCCTTCCCCAGCATCCCTATAGGCTCCCTTCAGATACCGGAAGGCTGCTATGAGGTCTCCACGCAGCCTTCTCTTCTCCAGGCTGAACAGCCCCAACTTTCTCAGCCTATCTTCATATGGGAGGTGCTCCAGTCCTCTGATCATCCTCGTGGCCCTCCTCTGGACTTGTTCCAACAGTTCCATGTCCTTTTTATGTTGAGGACACCAGAACTGCACACAACACTCCAAGTGAGGTCTCACGAGAGTAGAGTAAAGGGGCAGGATCACCTCCTTTGACCTGCTGGTCACGCTCCTTTTGATGCAGCCCAGGATACGGTTGGCTTTCTGGGCTGGAAGCGCACACTGCTGGCTCATGTTCATTTTCTCATTGACCAGCACCCCCAAGTCCTTCTCTGCAGGGCTGCTCTGAATCTCTTCTCTGCCCAGCCTGTAGCTGTGCCTGGGATTGCTCCAACCCAGGTGCAGGACCTTGCACTTGTCATGGTTAAATCTTAATCTTAACACCATATTATCTCTGCAAGGTGGAACACCTTAAATATATGCAAAGATTTTGCTGTAACACACATAATCATGCCAATGAAGAGAAACAAGTTAATTGCAGAGTACATGCAAATGTGTCTATGAACTATTTGTCTTAGTTGCAGTACTTGGTAATTCATTACTTTTTCTTGGCAAGTCAAAATTGAGAGTTATTTACCAGATATGTACGCAATATGACAGACTACTTTCTGAACATATGATGGAACAGTAGGGAAATTTCCTACAATATCACAACACTTACCCTAAATCAGCACAAGCTAGAATTTACAATGGTTGGGAACAAAAACCAACAAGGCTGGGAGGCGGCTTGTGGTTCAACAAAATGTGCCATTTGATCCCTGGACCTCCCAAAAAGGCTGTTCAAAAATTTGGGAGAAAGATGTCGTTCACTATTGGGGAATATTTTACTCAGGTAACTAGTGGTGCTAAGAATGACAGCTAGTATGTAGTATGCATCATCTTAGGGAGGCACTAACAGCCAGTGTGACCCAGCCTGCTGTTCTGTCAGTTCAGAATGCAAGGACCACCACACACTGCCTTTTCATGCACCTACAAACAGATATGTTTGCATTTATGTGCAAAAGCTTTCCTGTTTATGCAGGTGCATGATTTATTTATTTAAGCTAAGACAACCACGAAAGCACACGCAACTTTTTACTTACGTTAAGAAAACGACCCACATTTCCTTCTTTTGTGGCATCCAGTATATAAGTATTTCCTTCACTAGCATTTTTCAGAAGCATCCTGCCACCATCAGCCTCCTCACAAAATGAGTCTTTCGATTGCCTGTGATTTTCCTTTTTGCAGTCAGCCTTTAGTGGTGAGTTTTTGAATGGACTCACAACACACAAGTCATTCAGCACACCTGACTTGCCACAATCAGCACCCTGCAGAGACACATTCTTTCTTTTGCATTCTGCACTGTCCACATCAGCAGACTCAGTCTGTCCAATTTCCATTGGATGTGCTTCCTTTTGCTGTTGAGTGGATTCTGTCAATGGACACGCAAGTTATTTTTCAGTGACAGCCTAAACCTTTGCCTGGTTTATCACAGAACTATTACCCACCCAACCTTTGTTCTCCAAAATGTACGCAGCTTCCTTTCTATTTACAAGTCTGTAACACAACTACCCTTTTCCATGCCCCTCATCAATCCTCCCACAAATAACTGATTCCTGCTGTGGTGCCTAAAGCACTTGCTCACATGAGTAAGCTAGTCTCTCGTTCTTAAATCCCACTCCAGACTGACTTCTTCCACATAGCACTTTATCTTCATTTTATCTTCACTGTAATTTCTGAGAGAATCACAAACTGTTACTAAGACAGAGACAAGATGCAAGTAGTTTCAAACTGTCTTCCCAGCTTGAGGTCCCCTGCATTATATCCTCTTTTTTTTTTTTTTGTGTACAGAAAGATTCACAAGACTGACTCTCCCACAATTGCACTGGATTTGAAAAGTTGCTGTCAGGACTGTTTGACATGACCCAAGATCAATTTTGCAGGCAAAAGACTGCCCTTACCAGTTAATGCAATGTATCATGCAAAGCAGCAATACCTCCTGTACCACTGAGCTCTCTTAAGATAGCCTAAGCACTATGCAGACAACATCATTCTAGTCTGAGAACAGGCCTGCCCACATCCAAAAATCACTTTCTACATTTCTACATCGATCACCTGATAGGGCACAAATGTACTAAGACTGCAGTATTTATAGCTCTGCAAACCTACTTTTTTTTCCTGTCTTTGATCCACTGGTTAGTTTTGTTTTGCTTGACTGACGAATCTCAGAACTATTATCTTCATCTGAGGTGGCACTGTACACCATTGTATCAATTTCCTTTAAACAGAATAAAAGATAATGAATAGGTTGTGATGTATTGTTGCTGTATGCAATTCTGGGTTAACACAGGATAGCAAGTGGCTTTTAGGACTCTAGGGCTGAAGTTTCAAACCTACTATAATGGCTATGGCTATGTTTCGAAAGTTATTGCAATGCAACATTTATCTTCATTTCAAATTATCATTCAGAATAACCTGGAAAGTGCTTGCTGCTCAATAAAATATTCAAGTAAGTGCTTAGGTCCCACAGTCTCACCAGAATTTAAATACATTTGAGTAAGTTGCTGAGCCAAAGCCCAAACACACTTTTTACACCATTTCAATAAAATGAACAGATGTGGCAGCATTTCTCCTCTCCCACCACAAAAAGGCAGTTAGTTACATGAGCTTAAGAATGGACAGTGCTGCCAAATGTTAGCGTGAAAATCCCACGTGCATTTCTTAAGTGCAATGAAACCAACGGCACTTACAGAGTAAGTTTCCCTAGATTCCTTCCTTTGCAAGTATTTGCAGGCAACACTTCATGCCCATCAAACTCTCCCAGCTGCTGCACTGCATCACAAAACTGTGTCCAGCTCCTGAGATTTTCCTTCTCTCCCTGCTGTGTCATTTGTTGGGGAGACATCGCAAGAATATTATAACTCTGCAGTTAACTACAAGAGGCAGTGGAGGGGGAGTGTTTTAACCCCAGCCAGCAACCAAATAGCACACAGCCACTCATTCACTGCCAACCCCTGGTGGGACGGGGAGGAGAACTGGAAAACTGTAAAACCCATGGGTTGATAATAACTGAAATAAAGTTAAAATTATTATTAACAATAATAATAGCAATAGTAATGAAAAGGGAGATGACAGAGAGAGGAATAAAACCCAAGTCAGACAAGTGATGCACAATACAATCACTCACCACCTGCTGACCAATGCCCAGCCTGTCCCTGAGCAGTCCCTCTGAGCTAATTCCCCCAGTTCATATACTGAGCATGATGTTCTGTGGCAAGGGGGTTGGAACAAGATGATATTTAAGGTCCCTTCCAACCCAAACCATTCTATGATTCTATGAATATCCCTTTGGCTAGTTCAGGTGTCCTGCCTCTGCTTCTTCCCAGCTTCTTGTGCCCCTCCTCACTGGCAGAGCATGAGACTGAAAAGTCCTTGATCAGGGTAACTGCTACTTAAAACTAAAACATTGGTCTGTTACCAGCACTGTTCTCAGACTAAGGCCAAAATACAGCACTGCACCTGCACAGGAAGAAAATTAACTCTAACCCAGATGAAACAGGACAGGGAGAATGATTTAAGACTCTCAAGGCTGGAGTGTAAGTGAAGGGTGGGGAAGGGAAGGCTGTGAGTAGTTAATGCTGGTCTCAGGGAACATATTGAAAGATTGGTAATGGAGAAGGGATGGGTTATAGCTTTCAGCACACCAGCTTAACTCAGTGTGATACAGTTCCACAAAGAAAGACCATGGGAACTATTTAAATGTGTAAAGTGAAAAGGTCAAAATTAACATACATATTCAGCACAGTGAAAAATTAATCTATTAAAGCCACTTAACTACCTTTTTTTGCTGGTGATTATGAAAAATAACTGTTCTAGTTCCAGGCCTTCTTGCAGTGTCAATGCTTAAATTCCTTGGATGAACCCTGTACAGAAAGGTCAAAATGAAATTATAAAGACAAAAAGAGCCATAAGTATCTTTTACACATACATTTCTCTAACAATCTCTAGTTCATAAAGAACAGACTACAGCAGAGCCTGCTGTCTAGCCTTGGCCCAAGTTCTGTGATTATTTTGCCTTTAAGAATTGAGGACACAGATTAGATTCTCAATAGCATTTGCAAAAAATCCCCAGTTTTTCATACTTTTTTGAGAGATGAGCGACTG